CTAACGCAACATAATGAGTAGCAAGGCTTTTATCTCACCTTTGATTAATTTCTCAAATTCTTCACGTGTTTCAAAAAGTTCTTCTTCAAACTAAAGAATGAAAAAACAAATACAAGAATATATTGCTGTCATCATTTTTATTGTTATTATTACTGTTGATAATCATGATAAAGAGTTGGCAAAATCACCAATTAAAGCAATTTTTCAAGTAGCTATTGAACCCATGCTATCTGTTTCTGAGTCCTATAAAACCAAATAAATTTTTATATAAAACCATAGCAAAAGGTTTACTGAATGTAGTTAACTCAGTAAGATTTACATCTACTGTTATATGGATATAGCCTGCCAGATAAACTATTCAGGCCTCAACTTCGAATGCAGGCTACTTCCCTAATTAGCTCAGATAAATTACTAATCTTCTTCTAATGTCAGTTTCCTAATATGTGAAAATGAAGCTATACCTACTCATGTTGTTGTCATGATGTTAAATGAGATAATGTAAAATAAAGACTAAATCCCATGCTTGGCTCAATAGCTGTTTTTGGTTTTTGTTTTCTCTCATAACTTTCACTTGAGTGGTGTTTGTTGCTCTTTATTCCCAGTGCTAAGTCCCTGGAGAAAGGCATCATGCTTAGTAAAGTAGAGGGTCAGTGAAAAAGAGGAAGACCCTCAACGAGATGGATTGACACAGGGACTGCAATGATGGTCCCAAGCATAGCAATGACTGTGAGGATGGCACAGGACTGGGCAGTGGTTCGTTCTGCTGTACATAGGGTTGCTATGAGTCGGAACCGACTCGACGGCACCCAACAAGAAGAACACACAAATGTTTGATTGATCATTCTATTATATATCCTCTTTTTAACCCAGGAGACTTAGACACAGAGAAATTAAAATGAAGCAAATCTAGGAAGTTATCTGGTAATAATCTAACAACAGAACTGAATTAAGTCAAAGAACACTTTGCTGCATTATTTAAGGAAATATGAATCAAGGTGGAGTTTATTTACTGATGATTTCAAGACGTATTTCTTTGTCTTTGGTTTTCAGTCCTGTTGTTAGATTATTACCAAGTAACTTCTGGATACTTTCTTTTTATATACACCCACAAACTGAACATATAAATTTTGCATAGTATAATTTTAATATAAAATGTAAAGCAATGAGTTTTTCTGTATTATTTTCTAGCACAATTAGAGATATAAACACTCAGCGCATAACTGGAAAATAGTATCTTTTCCCAAAGATTCTATTCTACCCCTTTTCCAACAAAAATGAATAATTGAAAGATAATTTGGCCATTGATTGCTTTGTAAAAATTAGATCATCAGGTGAAGAAATGACAAACTCAAGGTTTTCTTTTTTGTTTTATTTTATATTGAAAGATATTTAATGTCCTCCAAAACAAATAGTATTTTCAATAGGTAGGCTTTGGGTTCACGTTGTCTCCTGCGCAGGTTTTATTGTATTTTGTTCAGGTCTAATTCTACACAAAAATTGAGATTTGGAAAACAATAATAAAAAGGAATGAACAAGAGTCTGTCTCTGTTTCTGCCCCTCTCTGTCTGTCTGTCTCTGTCTTTGTTCTCTCTCTGCCTCTTTCTCTCTCTTTTCCCCTCAGTCTCCCTCTCTCTCTCTCTCTCTCCCTCATTACCATCTATTCGTCTGTCAATTATCCATCTCAGCATGGATGAAACAGCACACAAGTCAATGCTGTATATTGTTGGATAGAGGTTGCTTAAGGGGAGCCAAGAGGGGCATAGGCAGAAGATGGTGGTCCAACTGAATTTAACTTCATATGTTAATGTTTTATTTTTAAAACAAAATTATATGAATATATCACCTGTGATTTTTTTTTTTAGACTGAAGGCAAATATTCCTTCCCACTTCGTTTTTTCTCTTACCTCGACCCCAGCTGCAGCCAAGAGCCACCGGATGGTTTCCATTCTGCCTCGTCCATTGAAGTAGTAAAGCTTGGGCTTCCCAGCCATGCTTCAATGTTCCTGAAAAACAACAGAAAACATGGCGCTATAGTCAGAAGCACCACGCCGTCTCTCTGCAGCAAAGATCAGAAAAACTAAGTCAAACAGAGTCACACATCAGTCCTGAAACCCTAAGCATCAAAGGAAGAAATAAAGAACTCAGCCAAGCAC